TGAGCTATGGGACTCTTCAGCTGGGAGAAGGGCAGGATCAGGGGTGACTTGGTGGCTGCCTATAAGTACATAAGAGGTGTGCATCAGGATCTGGAGGAACACCTGTTCACCAGAGCACTCCAGGGGATGACAAGATCCAATGGTCATGAACTCCTGCAAGACTGTTTTAGGCTGGACATAAGGAAAAACTTTACTGTCTGAGCCCCAAGGCCTGGAACAAACTCCCCCTAGAGGTGGTGCAAGCACCTACTCTGGACTCTTTCAAGAAACATTTGGATGTTTATCTTGCTGGGATCATTTGACCTTAGCTGACTTCCTGCCCCTTGGGCAGGGGACTGGATCTGATGATCTTACAAAGTCCCTTCCAGCCCTAGTGTCTATAAAATCTATTAAATCAAATTAAGCTTTGTTATGGAAAGAACACTTTTATTTTGCATAGACACTCCCCAGGGCAAGTATCTCAAATGAGGGGTCTCTGCTTATACATTTATTGTTCTGTTAAGCAGCATAAGATTATACCAGCCACCCCCAAATACTGCCCAGAAAAGACCCTCATTAACATATTGCTAAAAGGTTGAATTTGCATAAAATTGGAAGTAAGGAGTGAAAACTATGGGTTTCAGCATGCAAAGTTGTAGTGCAGCCACATGCATCCGGATGGGATACAGATAAGGGTGCACATAGGTTCCACAGAGTGTATTTTGGCCTCTCTCAATGAATTCTGTAGCCTGCATATAATGTGTCCTTTTCCTCAGAGAAGCAGTGCAAAGGAGCTCATTTTAAAGGAGTGAGCTGTGAATGAAATGGAATTAAGAGGATCCCTCCAGGAACCCCAGTCCAGTAATGAAGAGCAGGAAGGCCTGCACACTAGATCACTTCCTTGTTTCATTTCATATTTCATGGATCATGAAGTATTTATTAGCTAAAATAAACATAAGCGGTTCAATCTACTCACTGGGTCAGATTCTAGCTTTATCTTCTCCTATGTCTAAGGGTATGTCTAGGCTGCTCTTTAGGGTTAACCCTGAGTCATTTTTAAATAAGCCATGTGAATCATCCTTCCCCATCTATATCATATCTCATAGCTCACAAAGCTGTCTACATTATCCTTCTTATTTTTTAGTGCAGCACTGAGATATATCCCCTATGGAGTCCTTCTAGGAAGTGATCTGCAGGCTTGTCTCTTCCTTAGGGCTTGTCTAAACTTACAGGCAGTAGAGAGAAGACGTGGAATACAGAAGGGCTGGAAGTCGGGAGCAGGGGATTGCTGCTGGTAGACTTCCTGTGCTAGAGGTTTGCATGCCCATCTAAGTTCCAGATACTCTTCAGGGGGAAGTGGGCATGGAGGTGGAGTAGTGTTGGGGCCAAACTCACACATCAAATTTCAAAGTTTCCAGGGTCTGACTGGATTGTTGCCAGGGTGAAACAGGTAATTACACTGTCAATGACCTTATGGCTGACACTAATGATCAGTGTAGACGTAACCTGTGTTGATGGTACACCTATCCATGTGTCCCATTTTACTTCAAATAGTGTAATTCACAGGACTGTAAAACAGACTGTAGCCCAATATGGTAATTTACATGAGATTCTAAAAAGTGTTCATGATAACAACCACAAAGTAATTCCTTTCCCCATTTACCTTGCAATGCTGGGATCAGACTCACACCTTTTGGCCAAAAAACTGCTGTAATGAGAGGTGGCAGGAGAGATGGAGGGCCTGTCACTTGGGTTTGGAGGAAGCCTGAAAAGAGGAGGAAAGTCTAGGAACTCCACAAACCTGAACAACAACAGGAGTCAAGTCTATGTGCTGAGAAGAGGGGACAAGTAGGAATGTAAAAATCTTAGTTAGTTAAGTTGGACCAGTATTAAGGCCTTCACTTGCACAGACTAAAATGTTCTTTTGTCCTTTGTCACATGTAGCAGAGACTTGACAGGAAGAATTGGCTTCTCAGAGAAGTGATCCTTGGGTAGAATTAAAGGAGGATCAAGTAAGATCTTGACAAGGCCAAAGATCATGTAGTGACATCTCTGAGGTGGGAGAAGCAGAGCCAGATGGAAAACTATACACAGCACTCTGAACAATAGGAATGGGAGAAGGAAATATCTGGCCATGGTCAACAGTATAAACTTTTATCCTTATAAAATGAAAACAATGGGATCATGTGTGTCTGCAGAGAGTAGACAGAGTCAAGGTTGTTATGGTGTCACTAGAATCAATCATGCTTAGCAACCTGTATAGGATTTATGCTTATTTTGCCTTGGACAGATGGAAAGCTGAGTTGATCCTGCCTTCAAAAAAAAATGTGGCTCCAAGGTATCTATGAATCCCATGTCCAATGCTCATAATCAGTGCAACCCCCTTTGTGTGTAAATTGCAGACCAAATACTCATAGTCTACAATGTGTACAGTCTCATTTGTACAGATTTACTGTCTGTGAAAAACTGTAGAAAAAATCTGGGTTAGGCTATATCTCCAGCCACCTCCCATAGCTCAGAAGACTTCCTGGAGCTAGCTAACACTCAAATGTTAAATTTCTGAAGATAGTGTACTGTAGGTTCTTGATCTCCTGTTGCCTACCCTGGGATTCATCCTTTTTCCCCATGATCTTTCTCCATGAGTTTCAACTAGCCTTATACACACACAAAGGCCCCATGTAGAATGGCAGTAAATCTCCACCAAGCATCGCACAGAGGATACCTGTCACAACCTGGTCCCTTGTAGCATTTCCAGGGACAATTAATGTTGATGAAAGACAGCTCTGTACATACCAGCAGATACCAGTGGTGCTTGTCATTACAAATCAACCTTCATTCACAGGACACCAATCTTTTCACTTTATTTTTTTCTACTTTGAGCCACTGGTTTAAAATCTCAACTCAGCTTTCTGGCTCCCATCCCAAAGCATTTGCTTTCCTTCATGCCCCATACCAGCCCTATCCTTTTACCTTCTGGTACTGTAGTCTGAGCTGTCTACATAGCATGGCACCCTGTGACTTCTCTGGGACATGGTTTCAGTGCTCTCTCTAGGATGGGAGTAGTGCCTGCTAAGAAAAAGAAGAGCCATGATCAAACAATGAACTTTGTCAATGGTGGATAATCTATAAACAATCAAATATTTACTGAAACTTCCCCATCTCATGTCCCCAATACTGACCTTGAAACCCACAAAACACTACAGTGATTTAAAATACATTTATGTTAATAGCAATGCACTGAACATGCCTGATTCAATTCAAAGTAGTACCATGCACCTAAGATATCAAGCAAATGAAGCAGTAGGACATTATTTGTACTAACAAATAAGGCTTTCACCTCACTGAGTGCTTACCTTTCCATGCCAGAGTCAAAATCATTGTCCCTCCTGGCAGGTGGGCTCTCATACCTGGTATGTCTGGGACTACTTCCTTCATAATCTGGGACAGACCTAAAAAAGCAAAAATTCTAATAATACCTCCCACACTAGTCTAGAAACATTACAGGTCTCAGGTTGATTCACTTATATTTTGGCTGAATAGTGATATTTTAATGTACTTCCATGTCTGGCCCTACCTACTTCATGCCCTGCTCCCCTTCCCCTTTCTCTGCAATTACAGCTAATCATTTGCATTCCAGAAGCAATGTAAGCAATACCCGCAGAAGCCAACACCAACACCTCCTAATGAAGCTAAAGTTTCCTTGCCTAGTAGCCTGAAAGTGGGTTTGGGCTGAATGTGTTTGGATCATCCAGGGTTCACAAAAAATACCACTGCAACTTTTGCGGTTCCCAGACGCTGCGGAGCTGACCCTGATGTGGCAACCAAAACATTTCAAGCAGTCCAGGATGGATCCAATTGGGGAATATTTTTAAACTGCAGGCAGACCTCTATTTCTTTCAGATAACGTAGAATTTTCAGAAATTCTTATTCTCTTGCAAGCTCTTTGGGGGACAGATCATGTCTGTACTGCACCCATACTTCACCCAAAGTCTCAGAGGAAGCACGATGGCAGATCCCCTGAATCTATGTCCAGAACCACACCAGCTACCAGGCCATCCTTCTTCTCCATGTTCTGGGATCGCTAGTCATGCTAATCCACATGTCACTTATCCCACCATGTATAAAAGTGGCTTCCATAGTCAGTTTCACATTTCTGTATAATAGTTCCCAAGCCTGGACCAGAGTTAAATACTTTCACATTTGCCTTCAGACACCTCCCTAAGCAGATTACTTAGTTTTCCCTGTGTATTTTCATCATTCCCAATCTCCATACCTTCCAATATTGTATACTGTTCTGTCTAGGTAGGATGATATCCTGTGATTGGGCTCTGACATAATGACATTTTGTTTCCGGCTGTCCATATGTGAGGACATCACATGATGGGTACTGACAACATTCTCCTTAGAGTAAGAGCTGGACCTGTTAAAGAATTAGAGATACCACAGCCTTTAAAGTCCTCCAGAGAACTGATTTCTTTTTTCTCATTAGTAATTGTTATCTCATCCATACTCTATATTTTCTCCTATGATGCTACAGTAGATATTCCCTAGATGGTAAATGAATACAAAATTAAATAGTGTTATAAGTAGTGCTTGCAGTTAATCATATGACTGGGAATGAAGATGAACAAATATGCTGAGGGGGAAATATTCTTGCCCTACTGTTATCATTATTGTAAATAGTTTTATATTACAAGCAGAACTCCATGGCTAACATAGGCAGCCACTTAATTCATAAAAATAACAGATACCGTTTGCCATCTCCCATTGATATACATATTAAATGCTCTGTTTAAGCTGCATTAAGTTAACTGACTAGTGCCTACAGAAACAGTATGTATTCCACTGTTTGCACCTCCTTCTGCCTTCTTACAGAGCAATTGCTTTGCCATTCACAGGTTGGTAAGCTCAATTAATAACTCCACTGCTAGTCAGTTTCAGGGCCATAATTGGCAGCCCTGAAATAGACTGATGCTAATCAGTTTCATAGCCCCCTATTAAAAACAGAGACACTGGGCACATCTGCACATGCATTAATGCACAGTAGTTACTGCGTATTAAGTTTAGTACCTATAACAACAGATACTAAACTTAATCTGCAGTACCAGCACTACTGCATGGTAGCACTGGCACATGCCTTTTATGCGACTATAATGTGCAGTAGACATTCTACACATTAGTGCAGTAGCATGGCTTTTGCCATGATGTGCTAATGTGTAGTAGAATTAGTCTACTACATATTTAGTGTTTGTGTAGACATGTCCATTGACTACCAGCTATCAGTTTTAGTGCTTTGCTCTTTCCTGCCATGTTTGTTGCTACAACCATAAAACTGACAATAATACATAGCACTGAAAGAGGTTGAGATGGGCTACAAGGTTTAGCTGCCCATTGCACATATTCGGCAACCAGCTTTTTGTCAAATGAGCATTTGTAATTTTTCCATTAACTCTAATGCAGCTAGAATTTTACCCACAGTACAAATCAATGAATGGGAGTGACAGGACATAAGGATTCAAGAACCATCCATATGGTACTGGCTTCTTACTTTGCTGTGTTCAGATCAGGCTCATTGTGACTCATGACTCTAGGACTGTCATGACTGGTCCCCGTTGGGGTGGAAAGTCTCTCTTCATAAGCTGGGGAAGTCCTGATAAAGAAGGAAAAGGCTTATCATCACCTTCAGCACCTGTTCCTGACACAATTTGCTGAGAAAGTGAGATCAAACAAGGTTATTAAAAATTGACTCCATTAGTAGCAGTGTGGCAATATGTGGTATGTTACTGCTGTGGTATCTTCTTTTAGAACGTCTTAATGTAAACCTTTCTCTTCCTAGTGGTGAAGAAACAGGCATTTGCACTGTCTCTGTTGAAACTAAGGTGGGACTAGATTATGAGGATACAAGATGTAAACACAATACATGTATGGCCTCCTTACCTTGCTATGTTCAAATCAGGCTCATTGTGCTCTACATGTTGGATCTCTGACGTACAGATGCTGCTGTCTCTAGATGTGGGGCTAGATCTGTTAAAGAAGGAGAGTCATTACAGTCTGCAAAGTGTTTTTGATTTTGTGGCAGTGCACCATTGGGTCTTGGGCATGACCTTAAACTGCACCCTGCTGGGATAGGGACACCTAGCAGGACTGCCACTGGTGTGGCAGACCCACTTGAGGTGTGACTTGAATAAGCCTGATGGCCTATGGGGCTGCTCAAGGGAGAAGGGCAAAGTGCGGTGAGCAAGAGACCCTGTGAGAGAGGGTGGACTGCAAGAGGCCCCAGTGACAGTGGGCAGTATGAGCGAATGAGACCTGACAGAGGACTACGTTGGCCCGGCTTTAGGCCAGGAGCATAGTGACATACTGAATGCCATCTGCGAGGCATGAGCCACAGTGTAGGGGTAGTACAGAGTCATAGATAGTGCCCCCTGGCATTAGGGCATGTAATGGGCAGCCTCCCACATTTACTACCAGCTTAGTGTAATAACAAAGCCATGGCAGGAGACTGGGTGGACCACCCCACGGGCAGGTGGGTGGGCTGGCTTGAGAGCCAGCCCTAAGCATGCCCCCTGTCACAGATACTAGATGGGAGAATCTGACTGTGAAGAAGCAAACTGTCTTATGAAGGATCTGCCTCAGAAATATGTGGGATCCCAGTGTGGCAAGAAGCTAATAAACTGCACAGTGATGTGGAAGAGAAAGGAAAAAAAGTATCTGAATTCAGGGTCTGTGTTAAAAGCTGTTTCTAGGTTGAACATTTGAAAATTTGACCCTGAAGAGAGAAAAGATATGGCCTAATTAATATGAATTCCCTGTTTATTCTCACCATCACATGAGGGTTACTTAATCAGTGACTGTTATTGCTGAACTAGTACATCTACATCTAGCCTTACAATGGTAACTTTTCTTAGCCTCTGTTTACTGAAGGAATATAAACTGACCGCATTGGATACTGAGCATAGGAGAATATATATTGTATTTCCTGGCCCACCAAGGAGGGTTTCTGTCTGCTGGAATTACTCCAAGGAGATCTCTTTCTCTCTTAAAAATTCTTATACTTAGTTGGGGTGGCACTTCACAAATATTCATTAGCATTCCCTGGATCCTTGGGATTTCCTGGCATAAAATGAAGTTCCTTTGCTCCAAAGACTTAAACAGAAACAAATACAGGGAGTCCTCAACTTACATCGTTTCAACTTACAGCAATTTGCACTTGCAACGCTCCGCCATTTACAACCATGTTATTACTTACAGCGCTGGATCCTTGCACTTATGGCATGACGGCAACTCAGGCATCACACAAACATCATGCCGTAAGTGCTGTAGGTGTGAGGATCCAGTGCTGTAAGTAATAACATGGTTGTAAATGGTGGAGCACCACAAGTGTGAATTGCTGTAAGTGGCCCTAAGTCTCCCCAAAAATCTCCCCAAGGAAGCCCATTCCATAACCCCAGTGAAGGTGTTCCTTTTACCAGGAGGAACTCGCCCTCAGAATAGCTAGTTCAAACCC